TACAATTGAAAAGTAGTCTTTAAATCTAGGTTTAAAATAAACTGCAAGGCCTCCACAAATTTCATTGCGTTTACCACGACTGTATAGTTCGCTTCTGTTTACAAAAATACCATTTGAGAAATTAGCAATAGAAATAGATTCGTCCCCTTTCAACCGCGTTTCACTAAATAGCACAATATCATAATTTGTTAAACAGTTTATAAAAGAGTGGTCGTCGTACACTGACTTCAATCCGTTTATATTCCAAACTAATAAGGAGAGTGTGGTATCAGATTGAACCCTGGGAATGTCCTAGCAAGTATCGGATAGACTGTCATGTCGACTTCCACTATTATGCGATCCTCGCCTAGCGTTTAGGTTGTTTAGCGTGCCATTGAAAGGGGGGCCCTTTTCTCGGGTGGATTTTTGATTACTTAGTACGGGAGTAGAAGTCGATGGTCCTACTGGTAGCTGTCTTAATGGGGATGTGCTCATGACGACATTGTTGTTGATACCAGTAGATTGGATATGGTTCAGATCTGAGATGTTGTGATTACCGACAGGGTGATTAATATTCTGGCTAGTCGAGGTACGTTGCGTATTTAGAGGTTGATCAGCTTGATTGAGCTCATAGTTCTCATTCGCACGATTCCTATAAAGATGAATAACATTCATTAAATCATTTTCATTTTTAATAGTTGAGATTTTGCCATTCAGAGCCATAATTTTACCATCGAATGTCCAGCAACCCTCAATTATTCGTTCTTTAAAAAGATTTCTGACTTCCCTAAAGAGATCAGATCTCTTTTTCGTAAGAGCCTCATTGATATATATATATTAAATCTTCTGTTTCTATTAAATTCTTTAAGATTGCTTTTGTTGCCGAAAATCAATGCTCTACATCGGTAACTAATGAATCTAACTATGATGTCACGGTTGAAACCACTTCTACTCGGACCAACTTGATGCGTACGACCTATATCATAAAGTGAGATTTGAATATTGTGTCGATACAAAATCTCATTGTTAATAATGCTCAGAATAATGTGATCCGTATCCTCTCTTTCACCGTATGTCGTCTCCGGTATACCACAAAATTTGAGACAAGTTCTTCTCGAGTATTGATCGAGGTCGTCTATACGGTCTTCCATACAATTGAAACGGTCATTTACTGCCTTGGAAATTTCAGGCTGAAGTTCGTTCATGATATGATCCTTGATGTTTTGATGCTTTAAAAGGTAAGAAATGAATCGTTTAAGGGAATGGGCATCCTTCATGAGACTATCAAGAAATCCAGAGTTATCAGTGCTACGTTGAATATTATCAGTGCTCGTAGTCCGCTTCCTTTTATTAGCACTTTTACCATTATTTTTACCCAATTTAGATCTGCCCATTTTGGTAATAAAGTTAAAATTTCACAAATGAATACAAGTTCGGTTTTACAAGGATGTCATCTCTAATCGTAGAGAAAACGGCTATATACCGCAGGATGAAACTAGAAATATTGTACTTACAAGTTTAGTAGTCCAAGAATTTGAATCCGAATATCACAGTAGTCTTGTCACAGAACAAACATTATAATTACACCGATTTAAACACAAATACGACAGTCACCTTCAACCGACAGGTGAGTAAAATCGGTCACGGTTGACCACATCCTGGAGCGACAAAAGCACGTCCACTCGCTTTCATGTGTTAAAGAAATATGCGTGTCACTTCATTAGCATCACTATCGGTCGCCCAAACTCTGCCGCGTGGCTAGCCCAAACTGTCTACCTTCAATGCACGTGCATACAGGTAGTATAAAAACCTTGCAATCTGGCTTGTTTGGGAGATGGATTATGACAGTTGGAGGATTCGATACTGCCACCGGGTACTTGGGTGAGTGAAGTTATTATGTTTTGAAATTATTATGTTATTAACTTTGGTGTCTTGGGTTCCTCTGTGCAGGATTCGTATATTTTACTCATCGTTGTATGTTTTGTTAGTATGAGTAAATTCATGTAGAAATGTTGACTAATTTTACAGGTCCCCTTTATGTGCCTACTAATAGATGATGTGTTAAATCACTGCTGGTACCGTCGATGAATATTGAACAGTGTTCTGGAATGGTATCGTCGATGTATTGTCTTGCCGATGGGTGGACTTTAACGTCATAATGTATTCAGTGCGCGCACTTAAGAAAGAATTGTCATATTATTGTATATTGTATTATATACTGAGCGCCATGGAAAACCATCACTTTTTTCCCAAATATTTTATTACTTGGTGGTTTTGTATGTATAATATTATGCGCGCACTTAAGAAAGATTTGTCATATTATTGTATATTGTATTATATACTGAGCGCCATGGAAAACCATCACTTTTTTCCCAAATATTTTATTACTTGGTGGTTTTGTATGTATAATATACTGCAATACTATGAACTATTGTTTCACTCAATGCTCCCAAACGCAAAAAATATCGGCCCGTGTGCACAAAAAAAAATTGCACGAGATGCACATGAAAAACCAAATATTCACGTGCAGCATTGTGTTTGAGCCCTTTAAAAGCATGTTTTTAACTTAATGTGCAGTACATGACATGTGAAACGTCAATCTGTCGTAATTTGTTGTTGGACGTGTGAAGGAATCGAGCTAGAGATGCCGAGACTTACTGAAAATCAACGGAATGAAGCCATGGGAATGTTCAGGGCTGGCATGTCTACACGTGCTATTGCCAGACAGTTCAATTGTCATCAGTCCACTATTGTACGGTTGGTGGAACGTGTTCGACTTACTGGATCAACACGTGACCGTCAACGTCCTGGTCCACAACGCGTTACAACCCAGACTCAAGACCGCTACATCCGGGTCACTCATCTGCGTGACAGATTCCGCCCAGCGACTCGAACAGGTTCTGCAGTCGTCGGAAGACAAGGACCAGTGCCAACACCGTAAGACGTCGTCTAAGAGAAGTAGGACTCCGTGCACGACGACCTTATGTTGGAGCTATCCCCAGGGATCATCACCGTCAGCGGCGTTTGATATGGGCTCAAGGACACCAGACATGGAGAAGAGTAGACTGGCAAAGTGTGCTCTTCAGTGATGAGAGTCGCTTTCATCTTTTATCACGCTGATGGCCGTCAACGTGTGTGGAGACGTCTTGGGGAACGTCTTGCAGACTGCTGCGTCTTCGAAACGAATCGATGGGGTGGGGGAAGTGTAATGGTGTGGGAAAGCTTCACATTCCATCACCGGACCGCCCTACACATTTGCAGGGTTCGCGTTAATGCTGTAGCCTACCGTGATGATGTCTTGCAACCAATTGTTCCGATGTTTCGAGCGCACCCACAACTTCAGCACTTCCAGCAGGATAATGCACGTCCGCATACCGCCCGTTTTAGTATGGACTACCTGGCTGCTAACAACATCAATGTCTTGGACTGGCCAGCCATGTCTCCGGACATGGCACCGATAGAACATGTCTGGGATGAGATTGGACGCCGTCTGTATCGGAGACCACAGATGCACACCATTGCTGCTTTAGAAGCTGCTCTTTTCCAAGAATGGAACAATTTGCCCCAGGCCCTCTTTCAAACATTGGTAAATTCCATGCGACGTCGCTGCACAGCGTGCGTAAGAGCCTGTGGAGGACAGACGCGCTACTGACATCCGTGTCGTACTTTTGGTTTTGACCCCTCTGACTTTGTACCGTTGATTACACATTAAACATCCATAAGTGTACAAATGTGTTATTGATGTGTTCCCATTTGAATACTGTTCACAATAAAAAGCAAAATAAATAAGATATGTTTACAGGATCATTTTGTTATACGAAAAACAAAGTGATGCGTTTTCCATGGCGCTCAGTATATATGTGCTTACAAGTTATTTCTGTTCAGCTTCATTTGCTCCCCGTGTTCTGCTCATTTTAATCAGACAAAGGTGGCGATTTTGTGTTAAGAAGCAAAATAAATAAGATATGTTTACAGGATCATTTTGTTATACGAAAAACAAAGTGATGCGTTTTCCATGGCGCTCAGTATATATGTGCTTACAAGTTATTTCTGTTCAGCTTCATTTGCTCCCCGTGTTCTGCTCATTTTAATCAGACAAAGATGGCGATTTTGTGTTATGTGCTCTGGGGGGGGGGGGTAAAGGGGGTGTTCTTAAGGGACGAAGGAGGGGTCGGGGGGTCTTCTTAAGTAGTGTTTTTGATGACATCTGATGCTGGTCGACTTGTGCGCGAAAGTTGATCGTTGTACGCAAAAGTGGAATTAAATCGTCATTTTACCCCTGGGTCCCCCTTTTTGTCGTTCTTATCCGAGATAGAAGTGGATTTCGCGTTCTTAAGTTAGTGTTACGTTCTAGTAGACCAATAGGGAAACTTTTAACGAAAAAATTAATGTTGTACGCGGAAGTCGAATTAACTCATCTCTGAGGGGGGGTAAAGGGGGCGTTCTTAAGGGACGAAGGAAGGGTCGGGGGTCTTCTTAAGTAGCGTTTTTGGTGACATCTGTGGTTGGTCGAATTATGCACGAAAGTTGATCGTTGTTCGCAAAAGTCAAATAAAACGCAAAATTTCGACGTTTTGTAGGGCGCCTCGCCCCCACGGGAAAGGGATCCGCAACTTAAGAATCGAGGTTCATGGTATCAGACACCGCTGCCCACACATCTGGCATAGTAGAAAATTTGTACGCGATTTTCGAAACAACCTGAACCTAGCTCTCTAACTATTTGGGCAAGAGTTTGACACATGTTGCTCGATCTGTGGCAGAAAGCGTTCTACCTAACGGAAATTTGGGAAAAAATTAGAACCGGTCTAAGATATATATACAAGAATTAACATTAAAGTCAATGAGGAAATAATTAGTGATCTGTTGCATATGAACCGAAACCCGTAACTACCGCGCGCGCTTCCAGTTATTAGTAGTATCTGATTGGTTACTAAAATAAATATGATGCGATATAAGGCGACAATAATGTAAATACTAGGAAATAAAATAGTCTCGGCAAATTTCGTGCTGACTGAAATGATGTACAATTCAAGTACTGTAAACTTCTAGGATTTGTAACAGTATTTGTTGGTAGAAAGGTTACCTATTAATTCAATATCTACTCAAGAAGAATGTTTATATATATAGTAGGCATACTTTGCGTGATATATACATCACAAGGTAAGAATTTACAATTATTAAAACTACTCGCACAGTGTAAGAGTTTACAATGATCAAGATATTTAATATGGAAGGATAACGTTGCCAATATTATTTCAATGTTCACGGTGCAACATACATATGTTAGCAGTTCAAAATACGTAATTTAGTTTTACAATTTGCAATTTCCATTTCTCCATAATACCATTGTCACAGTGTTAAAATACAGAATACACTTTTCAATTATACAAGTACAGTATAATAGTTATTTATTATTCCGTTCTGCATTTCGCATAATAGACAAATGCATGGGATCTACGACGAAGCTCATTTACATACGGAAAAAATTCTGGACTAAACGGAAATCAATAATTTACGCGATCAAAGGTCAGTAGAAGGGGCGGTACTCATAATTACAGACTATCGGAAAACGATCAATGAAATGAAATGGGGTTTAACTTCCTACTGCTCTGCTCCGACTGGGCTAATGAAAGCGGGCATACGCCATGATGTGTGCTATGAGGGAAAATTTGTCCGGACAGCGGCGCTATATTCGGCCTACAGTACTCTTGTATCGAATTCCAACTGCCAAGCGATCTTTTACGTGGACGCTAATGTGTAAACGGCACCATGTTTTTTCTTCCCATCCGAACGATTAGCCAGTTGTCCTTGTCAGACCCTTCGTCTTGCATCACTGACAAAGTCGGGTGGTACGAACCTCTATTAAATGACGGGGGTGGGGGTATCTATAGTAAACATAGCTGTCGTAATACAAATTCCAAATACATGTATCGTGTTACATATAACTAAAATGCACAGTCATTACTCTTTTCAAATATTGAAATAATTCTTTGGCACATATATATTTTCATATTAATAGAACACAGTTTTTTATGGGATACAATCACTAGTTTTATTCTAAAAGCACGACGTTTTGACAAGTATCATCTTTTTCATACTTTGAAAAAATGAAATGGTGTTTAACGCCCCTACTGTTCTGCCATATACGGTGGCTGATAAGGGACATGAAATATGATATAATTTGTTTTGTTTTTAATATTCACCCAAGTCAATTTTAATATAATTTGTTTTTTATAATTTTCACCCAAGTCAATTTTGATATAATTTGATTTTTTTATAATTTTCACCCAAGTCAATTTTTATTTCCACATAAGTCATTTGTAATTTAATTTGTTTTTTTTATAATTTTCACCCAAGTCAATTTTAATTTTCACCCAAGTCAATTTCACTCAAGTCAATTTTAATTTTCACCCAAGTCATTTCAATTTCAATTCTGTTGAATTTGCACCCAGCGCGTGATGTCATCTCAATTAGCCTCGTTTCCAAAACACTAATTTTCGCCGGTCATATGGAAAATAAATGTGCAGGGTCGACACAACCTTAGTGAAACGTATTGAAATAAAATGAAATGGGGGTTTAACGTCCTACTCCGACTGGGTTACTGAATGCAATATGCCAGAGGGGACATTTTCCTCTGTCAGCGGCACGACATGAAATTTCAACTGTCAAGAGTTATTTTACATGCTCGCCAATGTACTAAGGGCCTGGGTATTGATATCAACATGCATCCGTCATAGACAACGCTACCGAACATCCAGACATAGAATTCAGCGCAGTTTGATGGAAAGAGATAACAAAAAAACAACTTGGCCTATGTGCACTAATGAATGATGGGTCACACGCATCATGTCTCTTGACCATACTACTGGAAACAAACACAGATAGCTTTGCCATGAAGTCAAAGGGCCCCTTTTCTTACAGGACACAGATGGTCTCTTTTCCTGGATTTGGTGTTTCCTTTCAGTTTAATTTTTGGATATTTTCAAAAAAAATTTTTATTACACTTTCCTATATAGGCCTATTTATATAACAAATCTCCCCAGGGAGGTTCTCGCAAGATACTTGAATCGATATTTTGGTGCGTAACATCCACTCGACACAAATTAGGTCATTTCCGGACTATAACATGACTCTTTCATTTCAATGGCCAGTTTGTGCGTAGTGGTCTTTAGTAATGGAAGGAAACTGGAGTACTGAACGAACAACCCTACTCCTTGCCACGTACGAGCGGGAAATCGAAACTACGCCACTTGAATTATGATGCAATGCACACACGCTAACTATTCGCCCCCCCCCCCTTTCAATTCTGAAAATGTAATGAATGTCAAGATTTCTTCCCTTTGATTTAGAGATCTTGTGATAATTTCAGACCATAAAGTATAAATCAAATGTAATTACAGGCCTCATTTCTGGCTCTGATACGTTGTCAGGCCTGCTTGTGTTCACATAAAAAGTCATCATCCTAAAATATCAAATCTTTATTACACTAGTAATGGCTTTTCTGGTGACATATATAATTTAAACAGAAACTGATAATAAAAGTATGAGAAAAATATCTATTTGATATAAGGTAAAACATAATCTAATACAATCTGATACATGTAATTACAGAATGAGAATAAAATCTCTTTAATATAAGATAAAACATCATTGCAATCTGCTAATTACAGTATGAGAACCAGCGGTTGCCAGGCAAGGTACGCCCATATTTTGCAAGAGATGGATTGAGAACAAGCAAAAAAAAAAGCTATTTTTCATACAATCAGGGGCCATAATCCAGGAAGTTATGGTCTGCGCGAATATCAACATGGACTGAGATATTTAGGATATATATTTTAAGTTCACCAAAGTTTGCGTCCAACCGTGTGGGTTTTCTCCGGGTCCTCCGGTTTCCCCCCACTGCGGTGATATATTCAAACGTTTTTTTTTTTAAATCGGATAAAAATTGTGACCTCTAGAGGGACCACAAGCTAAAAACGAGATTTTTCGCACAATCAAGGGCCATAATTCAGAAAGTTAAGATCCGATAAGCGCGAATAATGAAAGGCACCAAGCTCTTTGAGCTATAACCATGCATTTCAAATTTCATCAATATCAGAGGATAATTGTGACCTGTAGAGTGTCCACACGGTAAAAAATAAGTGACTTTTCGTACAATCAGGGGTCATAATCCACGAAGTTTCAATCCCATACATGCCAATATCGAAAGGAACCTAGATCTTTTGGTGATAAACCTATATTTCAAGTCTCGTCAAAATCGGATAAGAATTGTGACCTGTATAGTGTCCACAAACAAATTGTGGACGGACGTCCGGAGAGAAAGGGGTGACAATATTCGTCCACATGAAAATGTGGGCGTTTAAAAATATCTCTTTGATATAAGGTAAAACATAATCTATTACAATCTGATACATGTGATTACAGAATGAGAAAAATATCTCATTAATATATATATATATGTATAGAGAGAGAGAATGGGGTTTAACGTCCACTCGACACAAACTAGGTCATTTCGGGACTAACACATGGTTCAATTTTATTTCAATAATTCGCTTGCGCGTAGGGGTCTTTAGCAGTGGGAGGAAACCGGGGGACCCGGAGAAAACTCACGAGGTTGGATAGACGACCCTATCCTTGCCACGTACAACCGGGGAATCGAAACCCCACCAGTTGACTCAATGACAGACCGTATGATACAGCGCGCGTGTGCTAACCATTCGGCCATCCACCCCCCCACCCCCCTCTCTTTAATATAAGATAAAACATAATACATTACATTGGAAACGAGGCTAATTGAGATGACATCACGCGCTGGGTGGAAATTCAACAGAATTGAAATTATATTACAAATGACTTGGGTAGAAATTAAAATTGACTTAGGTAGAAATTATAAAAAAACAAATTATATTAACATTGACTTGGGTGGTAATTAAAATTGATTTGGTTGGAAATTGAAATTGACTTGGGTGAAAATTATAAAAAAAACAAAATATATTTAAATTGACTTGTGTGAAAATTATAGAAAACAAATTATATTAAAATTGACTTGACTTGGTTGAAAATTATAAAAAAACGAAATTATATTAAAATTGACTTGGGTGAAAATTATAAAAAAACAAATTATATTAAAATTGACTTGAGTGAAAATTATAAAAAACCCAATTAAATTATATTAAAATTGACTTGGGTGAAAATTATAAAAAACAAATTATATTAAAATTCACTTGGGTGGAAATTAAAATTGACTTGGGTGAAGATTATAAAAAAAAAAAAAATTATATTATTTTTCATGTCCCTTATCAGCCACCGAAGCCATACGCCATACAGTGTGCTGCGAGGGAAATTTTGACCGAACAGCAGTGCCGCGGTCTACTCTTATATCGAATTCCAACAGCCAAGGGAACTTTTACATACATGCCAACGAAAACACAGGACCTCGATTTTTCGTCACATCCGAACGACAAAACTGCTGTCCTTGTCAGACCTGCCTTTATTCACCACTGACAAGATGAAACCACGTCTGAAAATCCAGATGAACTTTCTCGGCCAATGCAGGGCTTGAATACGCGACCTCCAGACAACAGAGCCAGAGCCTTCCCCACTTAGCCACTGTGGCTCCCTACTTTCATGAAAGAAAAGCTAAAAAGATTATACTGTAGTTTAAGTGAAGCCGGGGGTGTGGGGTTATGAATTAAAATGTGGGGCTTTTCGAAGGCTCGGATTAGCCATACCGAGAACATAGATTTCAAAGAAGTCATGACCATCCAGCGAATTTCTAATTGCATTCTAGCTTGATCCACTATTGCATGGTAAGCCGACCTGATCAGTAGTGAATTTTCACTATGCCGCTACAATCACTGATAAGGATGACATCGATTCGACTGAATGAGTCCCAAATATTAACTTTTTTCTACCCTCAAATTAAATTCTAAAACATTTTTTTTCATTTATTATAAAAATAAATAAGGACATTTGAATTATTTGTAGGTAAAAATCATTTCCTATTTAGTGTAAATGGGTATTAAAATAAGTAAAATTCACCATTTAGCCCGAATCAGTAACGTCTTATGTAAACAATGCACGTGCTATTGAGCCAATGATTGACGCCGCGTGATGTGACGTCACGTGTCGAAACAGTCATCTGTTACAGAGATATTAGAAGATCCCTGTGAAACAAATTGCGATTGATCGTGTAAATTATTAATTTCTGTCCTACTCCGGACTTTTTTCCGTATGCAAATGAGCTTCGTCGTAGATCCCATATAAGGTATATGTTCTAATATTCAAGTTCTATTATGCATTTGTCAATAATCAAAATGCAGAATGGAGAAGAAAAACGATCAAAGTCAGGTGGCACGAAACTCTATTAAAGATACATTATGTAAGATTTCGATAAAGAGCTAGCCGTTCTTGCTATAATAGATAATGTAAAATGAATAATTTGAAAATTTCATTCAAAGTACTCTATTGCGAGCGAAGATATTATCCTTTGAGGATAATGTAAAATGAATAATTTGAAAATTTCATTCAAATTACTTTATTGCGAGCGAAGATATTAGCCTTTGAAGGTTTGACAAGACGTGGGTAATAATTTCAACCACCGTACTGGTTGTTCGAAGATAGGTCTCGCTCCTCCATTTTTAGCTTAAATCAAAATATGACTGAACTGTTCTAATCTATTTAATATTGGAGACACCCGATGCCATCGAGAGTTGATTATGGCCTGGATAAGTTAATTAATGTCTAATTAATAATTTAGAAAACATTTTATGCCTAAAAAAGACCTGCAATAGGCAGATTTAGGTCTTGCATAATGTATGTTTAAATGACGGGGTGGGGGATATTTAAAGTAAACATACATGGACCTGTCTTAATACGAATTCTAGATATCATGTTACGTATATTTAAATAATATGTACATATATTTTGGTGATTCTTGTAAATTTACATACTTTGAAAAAATGAAATGAAATGGTGTTTAACGTCCTCCTGTTCTGCTCCGACCGGGCTAATGAAGACGTGCTATGAGGGCAGCGGCACTATGGCCTACTCTTATATCGAATTCCAACTGCCAAGGGATCTTTTACGTGCACGACAATGCATACACGGGATCTCGTTTTTTTTGTCACATCCGAACGACTAGACAGCTGGCCTTGCCAGGCCCTCATTCCTGCACCACTTACAAGGTAAACTGATATACTTTCTCGTATGCCAATGCAGGGATCGAACACGCGACCTACAGGCTAGTGAGCCAGTGTCTTACCCACTTAACCACCGTGGCTCCCTACTTTGAAAAAAAAAGATAAAAATATTAATGTTCAAGTGTGGGGAGGTGGGGGTGGTGTTATGTAGATTGATCACGGACTTTTTTCCGTATGCAAATGAGCTTCGTCGTAGATCCCATATAAGGATATATGTTCTAATATGCCAAGTGTAATGTGCTAAAAATAACTATTATACTGTATTTGTATAATTGAAAAGTGTATTCTGTATTTTAACACTGTGTCAATGGAAATTGCAAATTGTAAAACTAAATGACGTATTTTGAACTGCTTACATATGTATGTTGCACTGTGAATATTGAGATAATATTGATAACGTTATCCTTCCATAATTTTATATTCTAGTGAATCTATCACGTTTGTATCAGGGCAATGATTTATTATAGAAATAAATGAAATGAGGTTTAACGTCCTACTGTTCTGCACGGCTTAGTAAGACGGCTTAGTAAGCAGTGGAGGAATACCGCTGGTGGCAAGTGCTATTTGAGAGATGGCCCTGTGGGAATTAGTATTATTTAGGTAAACACAAACTACAAACCCGTCTCAATCCTGATTAAAATACAGATCTATATTTCATTTCGTTTTTTTTATACTTTCGAATTTCGATGGTCTACACTACATGAAGATCTGACAAGTTGTAGCGATAGGTCGCGTCAGAGGTCATGCAAGTGGGCTTTTGCCCCTATGACGTCAGACATTTGATTAACTAATCAGCGTTGATGTTTCTAGTAGTTTACTCACAGTTTCTAGTAGTTTACTCACAGTACCGTGAATCAAACGGTCAAGAACTCGCCGTAACAGATTCTTTCATTGGCTATTCCCTCACATCATTCAGAAGATGTCAATGATAACAACTCTTCCAGATGCTAGTGTAGTAAACACAAGTAAAACTAAATTTTGAACTAGTAAATCGAAACGAAATAGGGTCCGTGTTTTAATCAGATTGATTTCGTCTATGCCGAAATTCAAAAGTTTTCTCGTCCGGTACAACCAACCACCCCTCCCCGGAAACCCCTATGCCACTCGGATCTGACTAAAAGCCGGAATTCCCTTACAATCATTTGAATTCACTTGGAAAATCCCCGATTTCTCCCATAAAACTAATTGATATTAAATGTATAATAAACAATAGTATGATAAATAACGATTTCTCCAGTATGGAAGCTGATAAGTAACCTTTCGCTCCTTCTTGCCTTCCCCGGTTGTACTTGACAAGGAGTAGGGTCGCCTGTCCAACCTCTCCGGGTCCTCCGGTTTCCTCCCACTTCTAAAGACCCCTACGCGAAAGCGAATTATTGAAATAAAAAAATTCAACCATATGTTAGTCCCGAAATGACCTAGTTTGTGTCGAGTGGACGTTAAACCCCATTTCTCTCTCTTGCCTTCCCGTCTTTATTAAATCAGTCGGAGCAGAACAGTAAGACGTTAAACCCCATTTTATTTCATTTCCTTCTTGCCTTCGCGTCAACGAGGTGCGAAGGCGAAGCCAAAAAGCCGCGACAACAAGGAAATAAATACACAGTGCAAAGTCATGAAGTTGAGTCACTGCTTAGTGAATTCCGGTGTTTTCAAGTGTATACCGGTGAATGATAATAACTATACCGGGGAAATCTATAACAATATTGTGTGTGGGCGCGTGTGTTGTACAATCAGGGGAAATAGTTAGTCATAACCAAAGTGTAGTTGTAAGTGTATTTATTGAAAGATTACAGAAATTCATTTCAAATGAATGATGATGTTTGTTAATAACTAATTATTTCCACTGATGTCATGAATTTTAAATGTATAATTCCACCAAAAATAAGAACACCAGCAAGAATAGGCGTACGGGCCAATTTTCTTTGTGGTGGGGAGTGTTTGGTTGTATCATTTTTGCACGAAAATACGGTGGTAGCGCCCCAAAAATGAACCTACATAACTTTACCATAAAATAACCATAGTAAAATCTCGAAAAATTACGCCTTGGGGAGCGAATTGTCTTGACCTGACCTGCAGTTTGAGTTTGAGAACTAGAGGCTCTGCAATCAAAATCGGAATTGTTTGATTTTCTGAAATTCTAAACTCTTTATTTCTTTCATCATTTGGCCTCTGCCCGAAAAATTTGACGATCGCCAGAAAAGAAATTGTGTTCACAAATTTGTTACATAGGAGAAAGGTAATATAGCCAGCCCTAGCCGATTCCTCAATTATTTGCTGTGAATAAAAAATGTTGATAAAAATACAAAAAAATAATTTAATAGATTACGGAATAGAATTAATGTTTGATCAAGATACCGAACAGAAATGAAATGGGGTTTAACGTCCTACTGTTCTGCTCCTAAACTGGGCTAATGAAGACGGGCATACGCCATACAGTGTACTATGAGGGTTTTTTTGCCCGGGCAGCGGCGCTACGGTCTACTCTTATATCGAATTCCAACTGCCAAGGGATCCTTTACGTGCACGCCAATGTGTACACGGGACTTCGGTGTTTTGTCCTATCCGAACGACTAGACAGCTGTTCTTGGCAAGGGGAACCACGCCGGAAAATCTAGATGAACTTTCTCGGCCAATGCAGGGATGGAACACCCGACCTCCAGGCTAGCGACCCAGCGCCTCACACACTTAGCCACCGTGATACCCGATCAAGGTACCATTGCTAAAATATTCATTTAAAAATCAATACATAAAATCCTATGAAATAAAGAGATTTACAGTGGATATATAAACCTCATTAGATTATTATTAAACTCTTAGGATCAAGGAAATATTGAACCAATTTGATCAAAACGTAATTAGTTTTGCGGAAATACCAGTCACTATCTTTATTAAACTGTCACTAAATAATATTTCCTTTACTGGGCACTTCCTTATAGACTTGTTGGGGTACCACGGTGGCTCAGTGAGTAAGACGTTAGGGTTTGGTCGAGAAAGTGCATCGTAATTTTCTGGCGCGCCTCACCCTTGTCAATGGTGCAGGACTGCAGGCCGGGGGCAAGAAGGGACAACGTATAGTTGTTCTGATTTGAAAAACCTTGTGTACACGTAAAAGAACCCTTTACAATTGCAATTTGAAATAAGAGTAGGTCGTAGCGCCGCTGTCCGGACAAAGTTTGTCCCCCATAGCAGACGCTATGACACATGTCCGTCTTCCTTAGCCTCGTCTGTACAGAGAAGTAGGACCTTAAACCCCATTTCATACAATTTATTCTTGCATCCAGGCTGATACCGGTATAGAAAGTGGTTGGAATTTAAGATGTCAACTCTGCCGTACTCGGCATATACTTTAACTAGACAATAATATAGATTTGTCATTACATTGTTCATCAATGTCCCTTTCCATTCCAAAATTAAATTTAAAACATAAATTATTAATGCATCCAGAATTATGATTTGTCTGGAATTGTTGAGATAAAATGGAACGGGTGGTGTTAAACATCTGGGGCACTGTGAGAGTATTCCATTGTATTTATATCGTACAAGGCCAATGGGAGGTGGGGGTGCTAATTAAACTTGGATATTTTCAGCTATTTTTCTTTGAATTCCAACTGCCAAGGGATCTTTTGTACATTGTTGACTATCATTCCATCGTCTAAATGTTTTTATAGGTTATGGTGCCAGGTTGAAAGCGATATCAGGTAAACCAATGTATGTTGGTGTAGATGCTGATGATTATAACAACAATGTAGATCGTAACTGGTTAATTGAAGCAGATGAAGACCAATTGGTGACGTTTAATATAACACATTTGGATCTAGAGAAATGTACTAGCTGTGGATGTGATTATATTAAGGTAGGATTATATGATAGTATATTATATAATTTATATTATATAAACAGTACATCGTGTAGTTATGGTTACATCCAGGCTATATGACAGTATTGTCTATAATTTATATTATATAACAGCACATCATGTTGGCAAGATTGTATCCAGGCAGGTTATATGATAATATTGTCTGTAGGTATAGTCTACTAGGATGTAATATAACAGTACACTAGATAGGATTATATCCAGGCAGGTTATATGATAGTATGATATATTTTTTCAATGATCTTCTCCTCCTCAAATCTTTACTGGGAAATATCTGCTAGAAATTCTGCCCAGACAACATTTTCAAATACTTGAAATACACGTAGCAGTAGAAAATCAGACAGAAAATAATTTGGAATTATCCTAAATTATTCATAACTATGCACTGTAACAAATTTTGGTTTTAATTTTTGTTAAATTCACTTGGATTTTTATTTTTTTATTTTTCTACCTAATAATAATTCACTTGTCACAAGAATGGCTTAATAAAATAAAAGAAATATGATACGGAAGGCGAAACTAGCAGCCGCTACAGGTCTACTATACAGAAATGCAAACAATGACGCTTTATAATTATTAAGAATACATTAATATCTCTTCAGAACGGTATACATAGCCAATCGCTTGCAAACGAGGCATCACGTAGATAATATGTTATATTATAGCGTGGTGTAATATAATATGTTATATTATAGTGTGGTATAATATAATATTTTATATTATAGTGTGGTGTAATACAATATGTTATATTATAATGTGGTGTAATATAATATGTTATATTTAGTGTGGTAATGTAATATGTTATATTATAGTGTGGTGTAATATAATATGTTATATTATAGTGTGGTGTAATATAATATGTTATATTATAGTGTGGTGTAATATAATATGTTATATTATAGTTTGATATAATATAATATGTTATATTATAGTGTGGTGTAATATGTTATATTATAGCGTGGTGTAATATAATATGTTATATTATAGCGTGGTGTAATATATTTTATTATAGTGTGGTGTAATATGTTATATTATAGTGTGGTGTAATATGTAATATTATAGTGTGGTGTAATACAATATGTTATAATATAGCGTGGTGTATTATAATATGTTAAATTATATGGTGGTGTAATTAATATAAGTAACAGGTTCTAGTCGAAATAATGCAGAAGACAAAATCAGACTTTCCAGGTAGACATCCTGTTTTTATACGGTTACATTTTAATGTGGATATAATAGAGACTTTTGGCAAGCGTAAATTCCTGGTCCGTATCGCGTATCCGTATCGATTTTGCGCGTGACGTCATCAATGCGAGTGTATTTCTCATACGTGATACGGCACACGGATACGGCAGCACGTATCGAACACCTTTCATTGTCTTTTTACCGTATTGTTTGCTACTTTTAGACGCTGAAATGTTGTGCCATAGCGTTTTTATGAATCTATGTGTATCCTAGAACACGAAGGTGTATATTTCATGTGATTTTAACCGGAATTTTCATATTTCTCCTGTCTGTCTGCATGCTTGCTGGTCTACGTGCCAAATTTAGGAAGGTGGGACCTTGCAAATCTGTAAAAGGGGTATATACTTTCTGAAATGATACATTAGTGAAACCAAAAAAGGCTGTCAAGTCCAAGTCGAAGATTTTTAATAAGATTCGACACTATTTTTTTTTTAAATAGCTCAGGAATTTGTAGGCTAGGAACTTGACTAGTATTTATGTTGATCTTGGTAGATAACAGCCATCATATGCTGTAATAGAACTAAGTTCAGCTCAAGCTACCCATAGCCTACATGTACGTAGGCCTACGCGGCGCGAAAATCTGCCCAAACTCTAAAACTACATTGACGCAACGTATCACGTGACGATACGGATACGTGATACGGATAGGAAAAATTCCACTTGCCAAAAGTCTCTATTATGTCGTCGCCCATGTCCGTCCGTGTGTCCGTTCACATTTGTTTGTTGACATTCTACAGGTCACAATTTTTATCAGATTTTGACGAAACTTGTAGTTTTATATCCCAAAGATCTCAGTTAATTCCGATAGTGACACCTATTTGACCATAACCTTGTGGATTACTGCCCCTGAGTGTACGAAGAATCGCGTTTTTAGCTTGTGGATCCTCTAGAGGTTACAACATTTTTTTCCGATTGTTGTTTGATTTAGATGAAATATAAAATATGTGTTAAATGATCAAAAGTTCTATGATGGGTTCGAATTGTGTAACAGCATGTAAGCACCAGACCTTCCGTTCTAGGGTTAAAGCCGTTGATTTTTGCGTCAAAATATGAAGTAAACATATGAAGTCTATGACGTAAACATGAATTTGTAGACCCTTCAGATATAATTGAACACATATGTTATGAGTCTAAAGTAACTTGAATGTGTTCAATTTTGTTGCGCATCAGAAGTTCACTACTTGTTTACTACAGAACATTTGTTGTTAATTCACATTGAATTATTTAGGAAATATACTTGTATTACAGAACATATAACTATATATGTGTGTTTATAATGAACACTATTGAAACACTGTATCTTACAACATGACGATTATAGTGTGTATATTTACTGTGGGTTATTTTATTAATATACATATAGACTGGAGAATAAATATTATAATCAACAATGTATATTTTGATCATTGTTCATTGTCCCCAATGTGGGCTAGGTCCCTAAAACTATGTAGTAGCGTTGACCAATAAGGGATCCTTTTACGAAATCTGAGCCATTGTCATCAAGTGTATGACAGACTAAATTATTTTTCAAATTTGATGTGAAGCATTGGGACAATGAGTGTTTGAGACCTATTGATTTTCCCCATGCTCTCCGCCCACCTCGTGCACAATCACCTCTCGCCACTCGTTAGTCACCTCCTTTATTATTTTACTAGATATTTAACGGAAAGAGTAGCAGTGATCCGTTTATTGGCAAGTATTGCGGTAACACGATACCACCATCAATAGTTTCTACGTCCAAGTTCTTATATGTTACATTCCACGCAGACCTTAGTCAAACAAGAACAGGTTTCATCGCTACAGTTAGTCAAATAAAACGTAAGTTGGTAATTTGTATACTTACACAATTGAGATAATATTCCTTAAAATTTCCTCCGAATCAAAGCCTTTGAGAAACAATTTTTTCAAGCTTGATTTGTTTGTTTTTCGGTAGATATCGAGTCACACTTTCAATCCTATATATCATGTGATATGCAAAGGGTTGGTGAGCATAGTCTGGAACAGTAACCGATGGCCATAAGTGGAGAATATTTTGTTTTACGCAAGGTATGTCATTGAGCCAAATTGTTGACATAAAATGGAACGGGTGGGGGTTAAACGTCCAGTCAAATATTTTAGGACACTGTGGGAGTATTCTATTATATTATATTTTATTTATATGGTTCATGTCCAATGAGAGTGGCTAATTATTTGAATTCCAACTGCCAAGAGATCTTTTGTGCACCTACTACATTGTTGACCATTATTCAATCTTCTACGTGTTTTTTTTATAGGTTATGGTGTCAGGTTGAAAGTGATACCAGGTAAAATAATGTATGTTGGTGTAGATGCTGATGATTATAACAACAATGTAGATCGTAACTGGTTAATTGAATCAGATGAAGACGAATTGGTGACGTTTAACATAAGACATTTGGATCTACATTCATGTACTAGCTGTGGATGTGATTATATTAAGGTAGGATTATATGATAGTATATTATATAATTTATATTATATAAACAGTACATCATGTAGTTATGGTTATATCCAGGCTATATGACAGTATTGTCTATAAGTTATATTATATAACAGCACACCATGTTAGTAAGATTGTTTCCAGGCAGGTTATATGATAATATTGTCTGTAGGTATAGTCTACTAGGATGTAATATAACAGTACACTAGATAGGATTATATCCAGGCAGGTTATATGATAGTATGATATATTTTTTCAATGATCGTCTCCTCCTCAAATTTTTACTGGTAAATATCTGCTAGAAATTCTGCCCAGACAACATTTTCAAATACCTGAAATACATGTAGCAGTAGAAAATCAGACAGAAAATAATTTGGAAGTATCCTAAATTATTCATAACTATGCACTGTAAACAATTTCGGTTTTAATTTTTGGTATGTCGTCGCCCCTGTCCGTCCGTGTGTCCGTTCACATTTGTTTGTTGACATTCTTCATGTCACAATTTTTTATCAGATTTTGATAAAACTTGTAATTTTATATCCCAAGGATCTCAGTTAATTCAGATAGTGACACCTATCTGACCGTAACCTTGTGGATTACTGCCCCTGAGTGTACGAAAAATCGCGTTTTTAGCTTGTGGACTTTCTAGAGGTTAGAACATTTTTTCAGATTGTTGTTTGATTTAGATGAAATATAAAATATGTGTTAAATGATCAAAAGTTCTATGATGGGTTCGAATTGTGTAAGCATCAGACCTTCCTTTCTAGGATTAAAGCCGTTGATTTTTTAGTCAAAATATGAAATATACATGAAATTTGTAGACCCTTCAGATATAACTGAACACATATGTTAGGAGTCTATGAAGTAAACATGAAATTTGTAGACCCTTAAGATATAATTGAACACATACTTTAGAAGTCTATGAAGTAAACATAAAATTTGTAGACCCTTCAGATATAACCGAACACATATGTTAAGGGTCTAAAGTAACTTGAATGTGTTCAATTTTGTTGCGCATCAGAAGTTCACTACTTGTTTACTAGAGAACATGGCTTGTTAATACACATTGAATTATTTAGGAAATATACTTGTATTACAGAACATATAACTATATATGTGTGTTTATAATGAACACTATCGAAACACTGTATCTTACAACATGACGATTATAGCGTGTATATTTACTGTTGGTTATTTTGTTAATGCACATGTAGACTGGAGAATAAATATTATAATCAACAATGTATATTGTCCCCTATTTAGGCCAGGTCCCTAGACTATGTAATAGCTATGATCAATAAGGACCCTTTTCAAGAAATCTGAGCCTTTGACAGACTAAATTATTTTTCAAATTTGGACAATGAGTGTATGAGACCTATTGATTTTCCCCATTCCCCATACTCTCCGCTCATCTCTTGCACAACCACCTCTTGCCACTATTTAGTCACCTCCTTTATTGTTTTACCAGATTTATAACGGAAAGAATGACAGTGATCCAGTTATTGGCAAGTATTGCGGTAACACTATACCACCACTCATAATTTCTACGTCCAATTTCTTGTATATTATATTCCACACCGACTCAAGTCATACAGGAACAGGTTTTATCGCTACAGTTAGTCAAATAAAACGTAAGTTGGTAATTTGTATACTTACACAATTGAGAGTATATTGTAGTCCTCTCTGTCCGGTCACAATTCCTTAAAATTTCCTCCGAATCAAAGCCTTTGAAAAACATTTATTTTCAATCTTGATGTGTTTGTTTGGCGGAAGATATCGAGTCACACATTCAATCTTATACATCATGTGATATGCATAGTCTGGATCAATAACTGATGTGCATAATTGGATAATATTGGGGTTTTTTTTACTCAAGGCATGTCATTGAGCCAAATGGCGTGGTTTTGATCTCAGCCATATACGTATCAAGAAGTAGGTCGCCTGTCCAACCGCGTGAGTTTTCTGCGAGTCTTTCGATTTCTGCCGACTTCTAAAGACCCATACGAATTCTCGAAATGCCATTGTGTCATATGCTACTTCTGAAATGACATGTGTCGAGTGGTAGATTTCTCGGTGGCATACACAGACGAAAACCCGAGGTCCCGTATATACATTGGCGTGCAGGTATAGCGTATGCCCGCCTTCATTAGCCCAGTCAGAACAGAACAGTGGGACCCCCATTTCATTTTTGTAAACTTACTATAAATCAAAGCATTTGAAAGGCATTTGTTTCAGCCTGATTTGTTTGTTTGGATGCTATATATCACGTGATACATACCATTGTCCGAGGGCAAAGGGGTGGGGGGAATAGGCAGGAACAGTAACCGATGGGAAAGACAACACAAATTCAACATTTTAACCAAAATCAAAGATGTCAACAGTAGATCTATAAGCTTCTTTAAATTGTCATTAAACTCTTCAGATTAAAAATTTGACTAAGACTGCCCACATAGCAGCTTTATCTCAACTGGATGTTGAACAAATTTGAGTACTCCGAAAAAGAAAGTCGCGGAACGCTTAATATCATTGTGGCAAAGCGGGGGATAACTCCGGGTGAAATTAGCAGGCAGAATATCAATAGTTCACCCTCTGATGACCTCAATATTTAGCAGCAAATTTGGGAGAAACCCGTTAAAAAAGTTCATCTATCGCGTACACAAGGTTTGTGGAACATGGAGATATCTCCGGAATGGAAAGTCACAGAGCCTTGAATAATACTAGGGTTCATTCTCTCAAAACCACAAAAGCTCCGTTACCATTTTCATTTCCATTCCAAATTTTTTTTCAGATTTGAAAATTAATACACGAGGTAAACCAATGTATGTTGGTGTAGATGCTGATGATTATAAGGACAATGTAGATCGTAACTGGTTAATTGAAGCAGATGAAGACCAATTGGTGAGGTTTAACATAACACATTTCCATCTGCAGATATGTACTTATAGCTGTGGATGTGATTATATTAAGGTAGGATTATATGATAGTATATTATATAATTTATATTATATAAACAGTACATCATGTAGTTATGGTTATATCCAGGCTATATGACAGTATTGTCTATAAGTTATATTATATAACAGCACACCATGTTAGTAAGATTGTTTCCAGGCAGGTTATATGATAATATTGTCTGTAGGTATAGTCTACTAGGATGTAATATAACAGTACACTAGATAGGATTATATCCAGGCAGGTTATATGATAGTATGCTATATTTTTTCGATGATCTTCTCCTCCTCAAATCTTTACTGGTAAATATCTGCTAGAAATTCTGCCCAGACAACATTTTCAAATACCTGAAATACATGTAGCAGTAGAAAATCAGACAGAAAATAATTCGGAAGTATCCTAAATTATTCATAACTATGCACTGTAAACAATTTCGGTTTTAATTTTTGGTATGTCGTCGCCCCTGTCCGTCCGTGTGTCCGTTCACATTTGTTTGTTGACATTCTTCATGTCACAATTTTTTTATCAGATTTTGATAAAACTTGTAATTTTATATCCCAAAGATCTCAGTTAATTCAGATAGTGACACCTATCTGACCGTAACCTTGTGGATTACTGCCCCTGAGTGTACGAAAAATCGCGTTTTTAGCTTGTGGACTTTCTAGAGGTTAGAACATTTTTTAGGGTTAAAGCCGTTGATTTTTTAGTCAAAATATGAAATATACATGAAATTTGTAGACCCTTCAGATATAACTGAACACATATGTTAGGAGTCTATGAAGTAAACATGAAATTTGTAGACCCTTAAGATATAATTGAACACATACTTTAGAAGTCTATGAAGTAAACATAAAATTTGTAGACCCTTCAGATATAACCGAACACATATGTTAAGGGTCTAAAGTAACTTGAATGTGTTCAATTTTGTTGCGCATCAGAAGTTCACTACTTGTTTACTAGAGAACATGGCTTGTTAATACACATTGAATTATTTAGGAAATATACTTGTATTACAGAACATATAACTATATATGTGTGTTTATAATGAACACTATCGAAACACTGTATCTTACAACATGACGATTATAGCGTGTATATTTACTGTTGGTTATTTTGTTAATGCACATGTAGACTGGAGAATAAATATTATAATCAACAATGTATATTGTCCCCTATTTAGGCCAGGTCCCTAGACTATGTAATAGCTATGATCAATAAGGACCCTTTTCAAGAAATCTGAGCCTTTGACAGACTAAATTATTTTTCAAATTTGGACAATGAGTGTATGAGACCTATTGATTTTCCCCATACTCTCTGCTCATCTCTTGCATAACCACCTCTTGCCACTATTTAGTCACCTCCTTTATTATTTTACCAGATTTATAACGGAAAGAATGACAGTGATCCGGTTATTGGCAAGTATTGCGGTAAGACTATACCACCACTCATAATTTCTACGTCCAATTTCTTGTATATTATATTCCACACCGACTCAATTCATACAAGAACAGGTTTCATCGCTACAGTTAGTCAAATAAAACGTAAGTTGGTAATTTGTATACTTACACAATTGAGAGTATATTGTAGCCCTCTCTGTCCGGTCACAATTCCTTAAAATTTCCTCCGAATCAAAGCCTTTGAAAAACATTTATTTTCAATCTTGATGTGTTTGTTTGGCGGAAGATATCGAGTCACACATTCAATCTTATACATCATGTGATATGCATAGTCTGGATCAATAACTGATGTGCATAATTGGATAATATTGGGGTTTTTTTTACTCAAGGCATGTCATTGAGCCAAATGGCGTGGTTTTGATCTCAGCCATATACGTATCAAGAAGTAGGTCGCCTGTCCAACCGCGTGAGTTTTCTGCGAGTCTTTCGATTACTGCCGACTTCTAAAGACCCATACGAATTCTCGAAATGCCATTGTGTCATATGTTACTTCTGAAATGACATGTGTCGAGTGGTAGATTTCTCGGTGGCATACACAGACGAAAACCCGAGGTCCCGTATATACATTGGCGTGCAGGTATAGCGTATGCCCGCCTTCATTAGCCCAGTCAGAACAGAACAGTGGGACCCCCATTTCATTTTTGTAAACTTACTATAAATCAAAGCATTTGAAAGGCATTTGTTTCAGCCTGATTTGTTTGTTTGGATGCTATATATCACGTGATACATACCATTGTCCGAGGGCAAAGGGGTGGGGGGAATAGGCAGGAACAGTAACCGATGGGAAAGACAACACAAATTCAACATTTTAACCAAAATCAAAGATGTCAACAGTAGATCTATAAGCTTCTTTAAATTGTCATTAAACTCTTCAGATTAAAAATTTGACTAAGACTGCCCACATAGCAGCTTTGTCTCAACTGGATGTTGAACAAATTTGAGTACTCCGAAAAAGAAAGTCGCGGAACGCTTAATATCATTGTGGCAAAGCGGGGGATAACTCCGGGTGAAATTAGCAGGCAGAATATCAATAGTTCACCCTCTGATGACCTCAATATTTAGCAGCAAATTTGGGAGAAACCCGTTAAAAAAGTTCATCTATCGCGTACACAAGGTTTGTGGAACATGGAGATATCTCCGGAATGGAAAGTCACAGAGCCTTGAATAATACTAGGGTTCATTCTCTCAAAACCACAAAAGCTCCGTTACCATTTTCATTTCCATTCCAAAATTTTTTTCAGATTTGAAAATTAATACACGAGGTAAACCAATGTATGTTGGTGTAAATGCTGATGATTATAGCAGCAATGTAGATCGTAACTGGTTAATTGAAGCAGATGAAGACCAATTGGTGAGGTTTAACATAACACATTTCGATCTGCAGATATGTACTAGCTGTGGATGTGATTATATTAAGGTAGGATTATATGATAGTATATTATATAATTTATATTATATAAACAGTACATCATGTAGTTATGGTTATATCCAGGCTATATGACAGTATTGTCTATAAGTTATATTATATAACAGCACACCATGTTAGTAAGATTGTTTCCAGGCAGGTTATATGATAATATTGTCTGTAGGTATAGTCTACTAGGATGTAATATAACAGTACACTAGATAGGATTATATCCAGGCAGGTTATATGATAGTATGATATATTTTTTCGATGATCTTCTCCTCCTCAAATCTTTACTGGTAAATATCTGCTAGAAATTCTGCCCAGACAACATTTTCAAATACCTGAAATACATGTAGCAGTAGAAAATCAGACAGAAAATAATTCGGAAGTATCCTAAATTATTCATAACTATGCACTGTAAACAATTTCGGTTTTAATTTTTGGTATGTCGTCGCCCCTGTCCGTCCGTGAGTCCGTTCACATTTGTTTGTTGACATTCTTCATGTCACAATTTTTATCAGATTTTGACGAATCTTGTAGTTTTATATCCCAAAGATCTCAGTTAATTCCGATAGTGACACCTATCTGACCGTAACCTTGTAGATTACTGCCCCTGAGTGTACGAAAAATCGCGTTTTTAGCTTGTGGACTTTCTAGAGGTTACAACATTTTTTCAGATTGTTGTTTGATTTAGATGAAATTTAAAATATGTGTTAAATGATCAAAAGTTCTATGATGGGTTCGAATTGTGTAAGCATCTCACCTTCCTTTCTAGGTTTAAAGCCGTTGGTTTTTTAGTCAAAATAGGAAATATACATGAAATTTGTAGACCCTTCAGATATAACTGAACACATATGTTAGGAGTCTATGAAGTAAACATGAAATTTGTAGACCCTTCAGATATAATTGAACACATACTTTAGGAGTCTATGAAGTAAACATAAAATTTGTAGACCCTTCAGATATAACCGAACACATATTTTAAGGGTCTAAAGTAACTTGAATGTGTTCAATTTTGGTGCGCATCAGAAGTTCACTACTTGTTTACAAGAGAACATGGCTTGTTAATTCACATTGAATTGTTTAGGAAATATACTTGTATTACAGAACATATAACTATATATGTGTGTTTATAATGAACACTATTGAAACACTGTATCTTACAACATGACGATTATAGCGTGTATATTTACTGTGGGTTATTTTATTAATACACATATAGACTGGAGAATAAATATAATAATCAACAATGTATATTTTGATCATTGTTCATTGTCCCCAATGTGGGCTAGGTCCCTAAAACTATGTAGTAGCGTTGACCAATAAGGACTCTTTTCACGAAATCTGAGCCTTTGTCATCAAGTGTATGACAGACTAAATTATTTTTCAAATTTGATGTGAAGCATTGGGGCAATGAGTGTATGAGACCTATTGATTTTCCCCATGCTCTCCGCCAATCTCTTGTACAGCCACCTCTCGCCACTCGTTAGTCACCTCCTTTATTATTTTACTAGATATTTAACGGAAAGAGTAGCAGTGATCCGTTTATTGGCAAGTATTGCGGTAACACGATACCACCATCAATAGTTTCTACGTCCAAGTTCTTATATGTTACATTCCACACAGACCATAGTCAAACAAGAACAGGTTTTAACGCTACATATGGTCAAATAGAACGTAAGTTGGTAATTTGTATACTTACACAATTGAGATAATATTGCAGTCCTCTCTGTCCGTTCACAATTCCTTAAAATTTCCTCCGAATCAAAGCCTTTGAGAAACAATTTTTTCAAGCTTGATTTGTTTGTTTTTCGGTAGATATCGAGTCACACTTTCAATCCTATATATCATGTGATATGCAAAGGGTTGGTGAGCATAGTCTGGAACAGTAACCGATGGCCATAAGTGGAGAATATTTTGTTTTACGCAAGGTATGTCATTGAGCCAAATTGTTGACATAAAATGGAACGGGTGGGGTTAAACGTCCAGACAAATATTTTAGGACACTGTGGGAGTATTCTATTATATTCTATTTTATTTATATGGTTCATGTCCAATGAGAGTGGCTAATTATTTGAATTCCAACTGCCAAGGGATCTTTTGTGCACCTACTACATTGTTGACCATTATTCAATCTTCTACGTGTTTTTTTTATAGGTTATGGTGTCGGGTTGAAATTGATACCAGGTAAAATAATGTATGTTGGTGTAGATGCTGATGATTATAACAACAATGTAGATCGTAACTGGTTAATTGAATCAGATGAAGACGAATTGGTGACGTTTAGCATAACACATTTGGATCTACATTCATGTCATAGCTGTGGATGTGATTATATTAAGGTAGGATTATATGATAGTATATTATATAATTGATATTATATAAACAGTACATCATGTAGTTATGGTTATATCCAGGCTTTATGACAGTATTGTCTATAAGTTATATTATATAACAGCACATCATGTTGGTAAGATTGTATCCAGGCAGGTTATATGATAATATTGTCTGTAGGTATAGTCTACTAGGATGTAATATAACAGTACACTAGATAGGATTATATCAAGGCAGGTTATATGATAGTATGATATAATTTTCAATGATCTTCTCCTCCTCAAATTTTTACTGGTAAATATCTGCTAGAAATTCTGCCCAGACAACATTTTCAAATACCTGAAATACATGTAGCAGTAGAAAATCAGACAGAAAATAATTTGGAAGTATCCTAAATTATTCATAACTATGCACTGTAAACAATTTCGGTTTTAATTTTTGGTATGTCGTCGCCCCTGTCCGTCCGTGTGTCCGTTCACATTTGTTTGTTGACATTCTTCATGTCACAATTTTTTATCAGATTTTGATAAAACTTGTAATTTTATATCCCAAGGATCTCAGTTAATTCAGATAGTGACACCTATCTGACCGTAACCTTGTGGATTACTGCCCCTGAGTGTACGAAAAATCGCGTTTTTAGCTTGTGGACTTTCTAGAGGTTAGAACATTTTTTCAGATTGTTGTTTGATTTAGATGAAATATAAAATATGTGTTAAATGATCAAAAGTTCTATGATGGGTTCGAATTGTGTAAGCATCAGACCTTCCTTTCTAGGGTTAAAGCCGTTGATTTTTTAGTCAAAATATGAAATATACATGAAATTTGTAGACCCTTCAGATATAACTGAACACATATGTTAGGAGTCTATGAAGTAAACATGAAATTTGTAGACCCTTAAGATATAATTGAACACATACTTTAGAAGTCTATGAAGTAAACATAAAATTTGTAGACCCTTCAGATATAACCGAACACATATGTTAAGGGTCTAAAGTAACTTGAATGTGTTCAATTTTGTTGCGCATCAGAAGTTCACTACTTGTTTACTAGAGAACATGGCTTATTAATACACATTGAATTATTTAGGAAATATACTTGTATTACAGAACATATAACTATATGTGTGTTTATAATGAACACTATCGAAACACTGAATCTTACAACATGATGATTATAGCGTGTATATTTACTGTTGGTTATTTTGTTAATGCACATGTAGACTGGAGAATAAATATTATAATCAACAATGTATATTGTCCCCTATTTAGGCCAGGTCCCTAGACTATGTAATAGCTATGATCAATAAGGACCCTTTTCAAGAAATCTGAGCCTTTGACAGACTAAATTATTTTTCAAATTTGATGTGAAACATTTGGACAATGAGTGTATGAGACCTATTGATTTTCCCCATACTCTCCGCTCATCTCTTGCACAACCACCTCTTGCCACTATTTAGTCACCTCCTTTATTATTTTACCAGATTTATAACGGAAAGAAAGACAGTGATCCGGTTATTGGCAAGTATTGCGGTAAGACTATACCACCACTCATAATTTCTACGTCCAATTTCTTGTATATTATATTCCACACCGACTCAAGTCATACAGGAACAGGTTTTATCGCTACAGTTAGTCAAATAAAACGTAAGTTGGTAATTTGTATACTTACACAATTGAGAGTATATTGTAGTCCTCTCTGTCCGGTCACAATTCCTTAAAATTTCCTCCGAATCAAAGCCTTTGAAAAACATTTATTTACAATCTTGATGTGTTTGTTTGGCGGAAGATATCGAGTCACACATTCAATCTTATACATCATGTGATATGCATAGTCTGGATCAATAACTGATGTGCATAATTGGATAATATTGTTTTTTTTTTACTCAAGGCATGTCATTTTTACTCAAGGCATGTCATTGAGCCAAATGGCGTGGTTTTGATCTCAGCCATATACGTATCAAGAAGTAGGTCGCCTGTCCAACTGCGTGAGTTTTCTGCGAGTCTTTCGATTTCTGCCGACTTCTAAAGACCCATACGAATTCTCGAAATGCCATTGTGTCATATGCTACTTCTGAAATGACATGTGTCGAGTGGTAGATTTCTCGGTGGCATACACAGACGAAAACCCGAGGTTCCGTATATACATTGGCATGCAGGTATAGCGTATGCCCGCCTTCATTAGCCCAGTCAGAGCAGAACAGTGGGACCCCCATTTCATTTTTGTAAACTTACTATAAATCAAAGCATTTGAAAGGCATTTGTTTCAGCCTGATTTGTTTGTTTGGATGCTATATATCACGTGTTAATACCATTGTCCGAGGGCAAAGGGGTGGGGGGAATAGGCAGGAACAGTAACCGATGGGAAAGACAACACAAATTCAACATTTTAACCAAATCAAAGATGTCAACACTAGATCAAGAAGCTTCTTTAAATTGTCATTAAACTCTTCAGATTAAAAATTTGACTAAGACTGCCCACATAGCAGCTTTATCTCAACTGGATGTTGAACAAATTTGAGTACTCCGAAAAAGAAAGTCGCGGAACGCTTAATATCATTGTGGCAAAGCGGGGAATAACTCCGGGTGAAATTAGCAGGCAGAATATCAATAGTTCACCCTCTGATGACCTCAATATTTAGCAGCAAATTTGGGAGAAACCCGTTAAAAAAGTTCATCTATCGCGTACACAAGGTTTGTGGAACATGGAGATATCTCCGGAATGGAAAGTCACAGAGCCTTGAATAATACTAGGGTTCATTCTCTCAAAACCACAAAAGCTCCGTTACCATTTTCATTTCCATTACAAAAAATTTTACAGATTTGAAAATTAATACACGAGGTAAACCAATGTATGTTGGTGTAGATGCTGATGATTATATATAATGGAACGGGTGGGGTTAAACGTCCAGTCAAATATTTTAGGACACTGTGGGAGTATTCTATTATATTATATTTTATTTATATCGTACATGTCCAATGAGAGTGGCTAATTATTTGAATTCCAACTGCCAAGAGATCTTTTGTGCACCTACTACATTGTTGACCATTATTCAATCTTCTACGTGTTTCTGTTATAGGTTATGGTGTCAGGTTGAAAGTGATACCAGGTAAAATAATGTATGTTGGTGTAGATGCTGATGATTATAACAACAATGTAGATCGTAACTGGTTAATTGAAGCAGATGAAGACCAATTGGTGAGGTTTAACATAACACATTTTGATCTGGAGAAATGTACTAGCTGTGGATGTGATTATATTAAGGTAGGATTATATGATAGTATATTATATAATTTATATTATATAAACAGTACATCATGTAGTTATGGTTATATCCAGGCTATATGACAGTATTGTCTATAAGTTATATTATATAACAGCACACCATGTTAGTAAGATTGTTTCCAGGCAGGTTATATGATAATATTGTCTGTAGGTATAGTCTACTAGGATGTAATATAACAGTACACTAGATAGGATTATATCCAGGCAGTTTATATGATAGTATGATATATTTTTTCGATGATCTTCTCCTCCTCAAATCTTTACTGGTAAATATCTGCTAGAAATTCTGCCCAGACAACATTTTCAAATACCTGAAAAACATGTAGCAGTAGAAAATCAGACAGAAAATAATTTGGAAGTATCCTAAATTATTCATAACTATGCACTGTAAACAATTTCGGTTTTAATTTTTGGTATGTCGTCGCCCCTGTCCGTCCGTGTGTCCGTTCACATTTGTTTGTTGACATTCTTCATGTCACAATTTTTATCAGATTTTGACGAAACTTGTAGTTTTATATCCCAAAGATCTCAGTTAATTCCGATAGTGACACCTATCTGACCGTAACCTTGTAGATTACTGCCCCTGAGTGTACGAAAAATCGCGTTTTTAGCTTGTGGACTTTCTAGAGGTTACAACATTTTTTCAGATTGTTGTTTGATTTAGATGAAATTTAAAATATGTGTTAAATGATCAAAAGTTCTATGATGGGTTCGAATTGTGTAAGCACCAGACCTTCCTTTCTATGTGTTCAGATATAACCGAACACATATGTTAAGAGTCTGAAGTAACTTGAATGTGTTCAATTTTGGTGCGCATCAGAAGTTCACTACTTGGTTACTACAGAACATGGCTTGTTAATTCACATTGAATTATTTAGGAAATATACTTGTATTACAGAACATATAACTATATATGTGTGTTTATAATGAACACTATTGAAACACTGTATCTTACAACATGACGATTAAAGCGTGTATATTTACTGTGGGTTATTTTGTTAAAACACATGTAGACTAGAGAATATTAAGATATTGTATTCAACAATGTATATTGTCCCCTATTTAGGCCAGGGCCCTGTTTCACGAAATTTTAAGTAAAGATAAAATCCAAATTTTAGTAGATACTTCAATTTTGATTGGCTAAGCACTAAAATCAACCGAATATTATCCAATCAAATTACTAAGATTTGGATTTTATCTTAGTTAAAATTTCGTGAAATAGGCCCCAGGTCCCTAAACTATGTAATAGCTATGATCAATAAGGACCCTTTTTAAGAAATCTGAGCCTTTGACAGACTAAATTATTTTTCAAATTTGATGTGAAACATTTGGACAATGAGTGTAGGAGACCTATTGATTTTCCCCATGCTCTCCGCTCATCTCTTGCACAACCACCTCTCGCCACTATTTAGTCACCTCGTTTATTATTTTACCAGATTTATAACGGAAAGAATGACAGTGATCCGGTTATTGGCAAGTATTGCGGTAAGACTATACCACCACTAATAGTTTCTACGTCCAATTTCTTGTATATTATATTCCACACCGACTCAAGTCATACAAGAACAGGTTTCATCGCTACAGTTAGTCAAATAAAACGTAAGTTGGTAATTTGTATACTTACACAATTGAGAGTATATTGTAGCCCTCTCTGTCCGGTCACAATTCCTTAAAATTACCTGCGAATCAAAGCCTTTGAAAGACATTTATTTTCAATCTTGATGTGTTTGTTTGGCGGAAGATATCGAGTCACACATTCAATCTTATACATCATGTGATATACAAAGGGTTGGTGAGCATAGTCTGGATCAATAACCGATGTGCATAAGTGGAGAATATTGGGGTTTTTTTTTACTCAAGGCATGTCATTGAGCCAAATGGCGTGGTTTTGATCTCAGCCATATACGTATCAAGAAGTAGGTCGCCTGTCCAACTGCGTGAGTTTTCTGCGAGTCTTTCGATTTCTGCCGACTTCTAAAGACCCATACGAATTCTCGAAATGCCATTGTGTCATATGCTACTTCTGAAATGACATGTGTCGAGTGGTAGATTTCTCGGTGGCATACACAGACGAAAACCCGAGGTCCCGTATTTACATTGGCATGCAGGTATAGCGTATGCCCGCCTTCATTAGCCCAGTCAGAGCAGAACAGTGGGACCCCCATTTCATTTTTGTAAACTTACTATAAATCAAAGCATTTGAAAGGCATTTGTTTCAGCCTGATTTGTTTGTTTGGATGCTATATATCACGTGATACATACCATTGTCCGAGGGCAAAGGGGTGGGGGGAATAGGCAGGAACAGTAACCGATGGGAAAGACAACACAAATTCAACATTTTAACCAAAATCAAAGATGTCAACAGTAGATCTATAAGCTTCTTTAAATTGTCATTAAACTCTTCAGATTAAAAATTTGACTAAGACTGCCCACATAGCAGCTTTGTCTCAACTGGATGTTGAACAAATTTGAGTACTCCGAAAAAGTAAGTCGCGGAACGCTTAATATCGATTGTGGCAAAGCGGGGGATAACTCCGGGTGAAATTAGCAGGCAGAATATCAATAGTTCACCCTCTGATGACCTCAATATTTAGCAGCAAATTTGGGAGAAACCCGTTAAAAAAGTTCATCTATCGCGTACACAAGGTTTGTGGAACATGGAGATATCTCCGGAATGGAAAGTCACAGAGCCTTGAATAATACTAGGGTTCATTCTCTCAAAACCACAAAAGCTCCGTTACCATTTTCATTTCCATTCCAAATTTTACAGATTTGAAAATTAATACACGAGGTAAACCAATGTATGTTGGTGTAGATGCTGATGATTATAACAACAATGTAGATCGTAACTGGTTAATTGAAGCAGATGAAGACCAATTGGTGAGGTTTAACATAACACATTTCGATCTGGAGAAATGTTCTAGCTGTGGATGTGATTATATTAAGGTAGGATTATATGATAGTATATTATATAATTTATATTATATAAACAGTACATCATGTAGTTATGGTTATATCCAGGCTATATGACAGTATTGTCTATAAGTTATATTATATAACAGCACACCATGTTAGTAAGATTGTTTCCAGGCAGGTTATATGATAATATTGTCTGTAGGTATAGTCTACTAGGATGTAATATAACAGTACACTAGATAGGATTATATCCAGGCAGGTTATATGATAGTATGATATATTTTTTCGATGATCTTCTCCTCCTCAAATCTTTACTGGTAAATATCTGCTAGAAATTCTGCCCAGACAACATTTTCAAATACCTGAAATACATGTAGCAGTAGAAAATCAGACAGAAAATAATTTGGAAGTATCCTAAATTATTCATAACTATGCACTGTAAACAATTTCGGTTTTAATTTTTGGTATGTCGTCGCCCCTGTCCGTCCGTGTGTCCGTTCACATTTGTTTGTTGACATTCTTCATGTCACAATTTTTATCAGATTTTGACGAAACTTGTAGTTTTATATCCCAAAGATCTCAGTTAATTCCGATAGTGACACCTATCTGACCGTAACCTTGTAGATTACTGCCCCTGAGTGTACGAAAAATCGCGTTTTTAGCTTGTGGACTTTCTAGAGGTTACAACATTTTTTCAGATTGTTGTTTGATTTAGATGAAATATAAAATATGTGTTAAATGATCAAAAGTTCTATGATGGGTTCGAATTGTGTAAGCATCAGACCTTCCTTTCTAGGTTTAAAGCCGTTGATTTTTGCGTCAAAATAGGAAATATACATGAAATTTGTAGACCCTTCAGATATAACTGAACACATATGTTAGGAGTCTATGAAGTAAACATGAAATTTGTAGACCCTTCAGATATAATTGAACACATACTTTAGGAGTCTATAAAGTAAACATAAAATTTGTAGACCCCTCAGATATAACCCAACACATATGTTAAGTGTCTAAAGTAACTTGAATGTGTTCAATTTTGGTGCGCATCAGAAGTTCACTACTTGTTTACAAGAGAACATGGCTTGTTAATTCACATTGAATTGTTTAGGAAATATACTTGTATTACAGAACATATAACTATATATGTGTGTTTATAATGAACACTATTGAAACACTGTATCTTACAACATGACGATTATAGCGTGTATATTTACTGTGGGTTATTTTATTAATACACATATAGACTGGAGAATAAATATAATAATCAACAATGTATATTTTGATCATTGTTCATTGTCCCCAATGTGGGCTAGGTCCCTAAAACTATGTAGTAGCGTTGACCAATAAGGACTCTTTTCACGAAATCTGAGCCTTTGTCATCAAGTGTATGACAGACTAAATTATTTTTCAAATTTGATGTGAAGCATTGGGGCAATGAGTGTATGAGACCTATTGATTTTCCCCATGCTCTCCGCCAATCTCTTTTTCAGCCACCTCTCGCCACTCGTTAGTCACCTCCTTTATTATTTTACTAGATATTTAACGGAAATAGTAGCAGTGATCCGTTTATCGGCAAGTATTGCGGTAAGATGATACCACCATCAGTAGTCTCAACGTCCAAGTTCTTATATGTTACATTCCACACAGACCATAGTCAAACAAGAACAGGTTTTAACGCTACATATGGTCAAATAGAACGTAAGTTGGTAATTTGTATACTTACACAATTGAGAGTATATTGTAGTCCTCTCTGCCCGTTCACAATTCCTTAAAATGTCCTACGAATCAAAGCCTTTGAGAAACAAATTTTTCAAGCTTGATTTGTTTGTTTTTCGGTAGATATCGAGTTACACTTTCAATCCTATACATCATGTGATATACAAAGGGTTGGTGAATATTGTCTGGAACAGTAACCGATGGCTATAAGTGGAGAATAATTTTGTTTTACGCAAGGTATGTCATTGAGCCAAATGGCGTGGTTTTGATCTCAGCAATATACGTACTATTAAGAAGGTTGGCCTGTCCAACCTCGTAAGTTTTTCTCCGAGTCTTTCGATTTCTGCCGACTTGTAAAATCCCATACGAATTCTTGAAATACAATTGTGTCATAATATGTTATTTCTGAAATGACTTGTGTCAAGTGGTAGAAGACATTGTCCAAGTAGATCCCCGGTTGTACGTGAGAAGGAGTAGGGTCGCCTGTCTGTCTCTGTCTCTGTCTCTGTCTCTCTCTGTCACTCTTGTCCAAGTTGTTATGAAAGTCCCATTACATGTCTATTACTGGCATAACTTCTCCATCTGAGGTCGCGGTGGCTAAGTGGGTAAGACGCTGGCTCGCTAGCCTGGACGTCGGGTGTTTGATCCCTGCATTAGCCGAGAAAGTTCATGCAGATTTTTCGGCGTGGTTCTCCCTTGTTAGTGATACAGGACAGAGGGCCTGACCAGGACAGATGTCTAGTCATTGGTATGGGGCGAAAAACTGAGGTCCCGTGTACAGATTGGCGTGCACGTAAAAGGTCCCTTGACAGTTGGAATTCGATATAAGAGTAGGCCACAGTACTGCTGTCTGGGCAAAATTTCCCTCGTAGCATACTGTATGGTGTATCCCCGCTATCATTAGCCCAGTTCGGAGCAGAACAGTAGGACGTTAAACCCCATTTCATTTCATTTCAACTATAATTACTCCTGTACTGTGTATGTATAACTATATCTCATAGTACAATTATAAATATTACTGCAGTAAGTATAACCATATATGATAGTGAAACTATAAGTATTACTGTAACAATCCTATAGTAAAACCATAAATATTACAGTGAGACAACCCTATAATAAAACTATAACTATTACTGTAACAATCGTATAGTAAAACTATAAATATTACTATAACAATGAATCCCCAAATGAAGATATCAATGGGTTTTTTTATTTACAATAGTGACCCCGACACCGTCAGCACTAACAATAGCTGCTGGAGCTGCTGAAGCTGTTGGAGCTGTTATAGCCGTTTTGATTATTATTACCGGAGTAGTTGTACTGGTACGCAAGTTGAGGACAAGAGAGAATGGCGAAGGTTAGTTTTATGTAACGTTCAAGGAGTGGGGTAGGGATCCATTGTATTAAAGGGGGTGGAGGTAGGGATTGTAGAATTCGGATGTATTAAATGGGGTAGTAATCAGTTATATTAAAGGGTTTGTGATCAGATGTATTAACCCTTGTGCGGACACGTCGAACGGAAAACGTTGTCGGCAATAACGGGTAATCTAAGACCCCAGACATAAATTGGCCTTTGGATGGATAATTTTAGTCAAATACGATCAAAACTACAGCTTCATATAAAGACTGAATAATAATCAATCAGAGTAAAAAAGATATTTGAAGTATTATCAGTGACGATATGAATTATAAGGTATTTTTGAAACCATAGAAATCTACAAATAACGTAATTGTCACGTTCCATGTAGAATCGTCTTTTGATGGGGTTTGCTTTCAGATCTAGATTACTAGAATCACCAAAACAATATCAGCAGTATCCACAATATCCACAAGAGTTAGACGCAGGCCCGTTAATCAGGAAGGTGTTCCTCGGCATTTTTCAGACAGGCCCCCCTCTGTACATGTTGACGTACAGTTGGATTTCAATGAAGAGTAAACGGTAACACCGCTATCTGATCAAAATGTCATGTATAGCGAACGAACTGTATGGTGTATGGCCGTTTTCGTTAGTCCATATATATTATATATTGTAGGAGAATCCCCAACATACGCCGGTTTAGTTATGGGTACAAGAGCAGCCACTGGTGCAGATGATCCAACTTACCAAAGTGCACAACATTTCATAGCATCTCAACCATCTTCATCTGAGCATGATGATAATATACCGTCATATTGTACAGTAATCCCATCTGGAGGAACTGCATTCTATGAAAATCCGTCACCAGTTGGAAATAGTCAGAGTCTTGCAAACAGAGAAGAAGCACGGGCTGCCACAGATGACAATACTGTTAGCAGTAAGTACACAAATTCGTGTCCTTTGGGTTGTTTCCTGCCCCGTATGCCTTTAAAGAAGAGTCGGAGCTTTTGGGCTATTCATCGGTTGTATTAAAGGGTTTGTGATCAGATGTATTAACCCTTGTGCGGACACGTCCAACGGAAAACGTTGTCGGCAACAACGGGTAATCTAAGACCCCAGACATAAATTGGCCTTTGGATGCATAATTTTAGTCAAATACGATCAAAACTACAGCTTCATATAAAGACTGAATAATAATCAATCCGAGTAAAAAAGATATTTGCAGTATTAACAGTGACGATATGAATTATAAGATATTTTTGAAACAATACAAATCTGCAAATAACGTAATTGTCACGTTCCATGTAGAATCGTCTTTTGATGGGGTTTGCTTTCAGATCTAGATTACTAGAATCACCAAAACAATATCAGCAGTAAGAACGATTCCAAATATAAAGCTAACACCGAGTGCAGAACAGATTAGATACTTGTAACTAGCAAAATGTTGAAAGGAAAGGGGAGGGGGTCCACAAGAGTTAGACGCAGGCCCGTTAATCAGGAAGGTGTTCCTCGGCATTTTTCAGACAGGCCCCCCTCTGTACATGTTGACGTACAGTTGGATTTCAATGAAGAGTAAACGGTAACACCGTTATCTGATCAAAATGTCATGTATAGCGAACTGTATGGTGTATGGCCGTTTTCGTTAGTCCATATATATTATATATTGTAGGAGAATCCCCAACATACGCCGGTTTAGTTATGGGTACAAGAGCAGCCACTGGTGCAGATGATCCAACTTACCAAAGTGCACAACATTTCATAGCATCTCAACCATCTTCATCTGGGCATGATGATAATATACCGTCATATTGTACAGTAATCCCATCTGGAGGAACTGCATTCTATGAAAATCCGTCACCAGTTGGAAATAGTCAGAGTCTTGCAAACAGAGAAGAAGCACGGGCTGCCACAGATGACAATACTGTTAGCAGTAAGTACACAAATTCGTGTCCTTTGAGTTGTTTCCTGCCCCGTATGCCTTTAAAGAAGAGTCGGAGCTTTTGGGCTATTCATCGGTTGTATTAAAGGGTTTGTGATCAGATGTATTAACCCTTGTGCGGACACGTCGGACGGAAGAGGTTGTCGACATCAACGGGTAATCTAAGACCCCAGACATAAATTGGCCTTTGGATGCATAATTTTAGTCAAATACGATCAAAACTACAGCTTCATATAAAGACTGAATAATAATCAATCCGAGTAAAAAAGATATTTGCAGTATTAACAGTGACGATATGAATTATAAGATATTTTTGAAACAATACAAATCTGCAAATAACGTAATTGTCACGTTCCATGTAGAATCGTCTTTTGATGGGGTTTGCTTTCAGATCTAGATTACTAGAATCACCAAAACAATATCAGCAGTAAGAAATATTCCAAATATAAAGCTAACACCGAGTGCAGAACAGATTAGATACTTGTAACTAGCAAAATGTTGAAAGGAAAGGGGAGGGGGTCCACAAGAGTTAGACGCAGGCCCGTTAATCAGGAAGGTGTTCCTCGGCATTTTTCAGACAGGCCCCCCTCTGTACATGTTGACGTACAGTTGGATTTCAATGAAGAGTAAACGGTAACACCGTTATCTGATCAAAATGTCATGTATAGCGAACTGTATGGTGTATGGCCGTTTTCGTTAGTCCATATATATTATATATTGTAGGAGAATCCCCAACATACGCCGGTTTAGTTATGGGTACAAGAGCAGCCACTGGTGCAGATGATCCAACTTACCAAAGTGCACAACATTTCATAGCATCTCAACCATCTTCATCTGGGCATGATGATAATATACCGTCATATTGTACAGTAATCCCATCTGGAGGAACTGCATTCTATGAAAATCCGTCACCAGTTGGAAATAGTCAGAGTCTTGCAAACAGAGAAGAAGCACGGGCTGCCACAGATGACAATACTGTTAGCAGTAAGTACACAAATTCGTGTCCTTTGAGTTGTTTCCTGCCCCGTATGCCTTTAAAGAAGAGTCGGAGCTTTTGGGCTATTCATCGGTTGTATTAAAGGGTTTGTGATCAGATGTATTAACCCTTGTGCGGACACGTCGGACGGAAGAGGTTGTCGACATCAACGGGTAATCTAAGACCCCAGACATAAATTGGCCTTTGGATGCATAATTTTAGTCAAATACGATCAAAACTACAGCTTCATATAAAGACTGAATAATAATCAATCCGAGTAAAAAAGATATTTGCAGTATTAACAGTGACGATATGAATTATAAGATATTTTTGAAACAATACAAATCTGCAAATAACGTAATTGTCACGTTCCATGTAGAATCGTCTTTTGATGGGGTTTGCTTTCAGATCTAGATTACTAGAATCACCAAAACAATATCAGCAGTAAGAAATATTCCAAATATAAAGCTAACACCGAGTGCAGAACAGATTAGATACTTGTAACTAGCAAAATGTTGAAAGGAAAGGGGAGGGGGTCCACAAGAATTAGACGCAGGCCCGTTAATCAGGAAGGTGTTCCTCGGCATTTTTCAGACAGGCCCCCCTCTGTACATGTTGACGTACAGTTGGATTTCAATGAAGAGTAAACGGTAACACCGTTATCTGATCAAAATGTCATGTATAGCGAACTGTATGGTGTATGGCCGTTTTCGTTAGTCCATATATATTATATATTGTAGGAGAATCCCCAACATACGCCGGTTTAGTTATGGGTACAAGAGCAGCCACTAGTGCAGATGATCCAACTTACCAAAGTGCACAACATTTCATAGCATCTCAACCATCTTCATCTGAGCATGATGATAATATACCGTCATATTGTACAGTAATCCCATCTGGAGGAACTGCATTCTATGAAAATCCGTCACCAGTTGGAAATAGTCAGAGTCTTGCAAACAGAGAAGAAGCACGGGCTGCAACAGATGACAATACTGTTAGCAGTAAGTACACAAGTTCGTGTCCTTTGAGTTGTTTCCTTCCCCGTATGCATTTAAAGAAGAGTTGGAGCTTTTGGGCTATTCATCGGTTGGCACAAAATAAATGATTTTAAATGTACAATCACATTAGGCATTTTCAAAATTAAATGTACAATTAAATCGGACATGTTCAAAATTAAATACAGTGGAAAATTTGCCGAACTATTACAGAGACACACTGTTGATAAATACTTTACTCTCGGTTGGTGCAACGGTGGCTCATTGAGTAGGCCTTTGGTTCGGTATCCTGGATGTCCCTTGTTTGACCCCTGCGCCAATCTGATTACAATACACATCTATATTTCGTTTCGTTTTTTTTATACTTTCGATGGCCTACACTTACATGAAGATCTGACAAGATGTACTTGAAGGTCTTTTCAGGGGTCGTACGAGCGGCCTTTGACCCTATGACGTTCATACATTGATTAATCAATCAGTGTTGACGTTTCTAGTGGTTTACCCACAGTTCCGTGGCACGCCAAGAAGTCGCCGTAACAGACCCTTTCATTGGATAATCTCTCACTTCATCCAAAACGCCGGTAATACAACAACTCTTCCAGATCATAGTGTAGCAAAGACAAGTTAAACGAAATTTTGAACAATAAAAAGCGAAACGAAATAGGATCTGTGTTTTAATAAGACTGTCTCTGCGTTGGCCAAGAAAGTTCACCGAGATTTTCCGGCGAGGTTCCACTTCGTCAGTGGTCCACGACGAGAGACTCGCGGGGAACAACGTATAATCATTCGGATGGGACGAAGATTCGGGGTCTCGTGTACACAATGGCGTGCACGTAAACGAAACATTTACAGTTGAAATTCGAAATTAGAGTAGGCCATAGCGCTACTGTACCGGGCGAAATTTCCTTCATAGCACACTATATGACGCATGCCCGTCTTCAATAGCCCAGTAGGAGCAGAACAGTGGCGTGTTAAACGCCCGTTCTTTTCTGTAAGTTGGTCAGCGTTTGATTTTGTTTTAAATATTTTTCATGTCACATCGATGGTGGTTTTTCAAAATGGACAAGTACCTGATATTTTACTTAGTGGTAACTTAATAAATATGTTCGGTTTATTTTTTCAGATATTGAAAATATGTAGGAAAACATTCGAGTGGCCGAGTCTGGAGCTTTGACTTGTGCCAGAAGGAAATGCAATCCAGCTCTTCTTGCTAGGCTGTATATTACATCGGTGTCAGTGCGGATTGCGATGGTAAGACAATTCTCCGAGGGAAGCATTCTGGCATGTGTGGATATATATTAACAAATGTTTTTTTTTAGTTCATTTTTCTAAATATTGTTATATTTTTTTATATATTTTAATGTGGATGTATTAGATCTTTTTTCAAATTATGCAATAATCATATTCATCTAATGACAATATGGCTTCTCAACACTGTCTTTCTGTATATTAAAACTTATTGTATATTAATTTAGTAGTATTTTCCCTTTGTACAATCTACAAACTTTCGGTTCTAGAACATTCCAGTACAGTGCACCCTTTTTGTGGAATTCCTTACCCCATCATCTTAAAACAGCTCCATCACTTGAATCTTTTAAAACAAAATTAAAAACTCATCTATTTACCACTGCGTTTTAGTTGGAGTGGATCAGGATTTGTGTGTAAATAGTGACCATTGAGTACATAGTACGCGCCTAGAGCATGCATTTGTGGATGGATGGGCGCTTTACAAATATACCTTATTATTATTATTATTATTATTATTATTATTATTACGCATGCCCACCACTGTGATGATTTCTAAATGATTACCCATCGCTGTATATTGATGTTTCCACAGTACCTTATTGTGTTATTATCTGCGATATCACCCTCGGTGGAAGCGGACGTTAAATATACCAAGAACAACAACAACATCCTTATTGTGTATTATATATCTTCATTGTACTATGGTAGTGGAAGTAGGCTTTAACGAACCAAGATGATACAACATGGTAGTCATTCTTTGCTTAATAATTCCGAGAAAACCCTCGTCGAAACGTCGCCAGAAATACACTTTTAAGTAACCTTTATTCCATATAATGTTGCCAACATATAATAACCAACATATCCATATACTTTTATCGGCTTAAGAGCAATATTACGGTTTGTGACAATTTTGTTAATCTCTCTGATCAATGTACTGCCCAGGACCGTCGGAACCGAGGTGGGGTTGGATTGAATTGCAAGCCCGTAGGACCCCATTTAGGCTCTCTAAGCTGACCCCCACCCTATAAATTTCGTTCCAATGGGAGTGGTACTAGCAGAATAAAGATATGAAGGCTGATCAACATTACTATGCATAAACTGTCAACTATCTTCAATGTATATAGAATATATGTAATATGACAATAAAATACTATTTGCTTTACTTCATAACTAGTGTATTTACTACAAAACAAACATGTTTAATAAACTCAAGTGGAAATACGGTATAATTGGGCGGACAATCTAGAATTGAATTGAAGTAGTGTTTAACGTCACATTGTTCTGCACCGACTGGGCTAATAAAGACGTGTGTGCTGCGGCAAAACAGCCTACTGTTATATCGAATTCCAACTGTTAAGGATTATTTTACGTGCTTGCCAATGTATACACGGGATCTCGGTGTTTCGTCCCGAGAGAGAGAGAAATGGTGTTTAACGTCCACTCCATACAAATTAGGTCATTTCTGGACTAACATATGGTTCAATTTTATTTCAATAATTTGCATACGCATTGGGGTCTTTAGCAGTGGGAGGAAACCGGATGACCTGGAGAAAACCCACGAGGTTGAACAGACGACCCCTACTCCTTGTCACGTACAACCGGGGAATGGAAATTATTATAACCCTCGGCCACCCAACCCCTCGTCCTGAAAAACACAGTTATACAATGATCATCAAAACGTTTTACCCAAAACATCGAATATAAGGTTTTTGTCAAACTAAAGTCAAGTGACCTTCAGTGTCATTGAAATGAAATTAAATGAAATGGGGTTTAACGTCCTACTATTCTGGCATACAATGTGCTATGAGGGAAATTTTGCTCGGACAGCAGCACTATGGCACTATCAAATTTCAACTGTAAAGGGATCTTTTATGGGACCTCGGTTTTTCGTTCCATCCGAACGACTATACAGCTGTCCTTGTCAGGCCCTCCGTCCTGCATTGAAATATTTCGTTCACAGTATCCACATGTAGATTGTACGTAAGGGTGTGTAATTAATCATTAATCCAGAACAAAAGTTTGAAACCCCATTGACAAATTCTCGGCAAAGGATCATGTTTGAATTTATTTTGTTTTATGTATTTGTGTCCGTCTGTATTTGACAAAAAGAAGAAAAAATAATATTAGCATTTAAATGAAAGTGGCTGGAAGACAATATCGAAATTAAAAATTGGCCTGGCCTCAGTATTCTTTATGCATTGCTCAGAACCCCACCCCATCCCAACCCTTCCTGGTCAATAGCGAACATGTACCGACTGGGAGAACATTAAGGCTTTGTCAAGATATTGTCACTTCAGTAAAGATGTAGCATTCTATGTGATACAGTAGTGTTGTTGTCAGCATTCTAGATCAATTGAGTAAGCAGTACTGCTTTTATATAGACAAAAAATAATGAATGTTGAAGTGGACTGGGAATCACGGTGGTTAAGTGGGTAGACTGAGAATCCTCTTAGAAATGGGGTCACGATGGCTAAATGGGTAAGACGCTGGCTCGCTATGTTGGATATATATATTTCACTAGACAGATTCCTTTCATAATGTTGGGGGATCACGTGGCTAAGTGGGTAAGACGTTTGCTCGCTAGTCAGGGCCCGATTCCTAGAAAATTCTTAAGCACGTTCTTGTGCTTAGATTTAATTAGACTTTGCATTTAATTAAACTTACCTTATTTTGTGTTCCCAGAAAATTCTTAAGAACGTTCTTGTCCTTAGATTTTAATTAGACGTCATTGTAAGCACAAGAACGTTATTATGCGTTCCAAGAAAAAAATTAAGAACAACTTCGTTCTTAAACATAGTCAATCTAAGCACAAGTCCCAAGCAAGGTATACGGTTGCTTACCAACCTTAAGTCTGTTTCTGCTTCAAAAAGATGGCTGACCGTAGAGTTATTCGACGGCATTTCAGACACCTTTTGATACCAAAGAGACAATTACAAGACAGAGAAAACCCTTCTCCAGAAGAAATTTCAAATTAAGAATGCTTTAGAAAATTTCCCTTCTAGTCCTACCCTGAAACCTTTTATTTATTTGCCAATTAGTAAACAATAGGCTACAAACACACAGGCGCTCTCACCAATATTCAGTTAGTTTGTATGTGTCTGCGTTTTTTTATCTTGTGGCACATTTTATATGTGAATAGGGGACATGTCAAATGCATCGAAATGAACCATATTATATATATATATATATATATATATATATATATATATATATATGACGTCAATGAAGCAGACGACAAATTTAAGACGTAATTCGCATACCAAAGGTTTTTTTTTATGACGTAAAGAGCATCGTAGTCTCAGTTTATGGTAAACTTTACCAGTCACAATGTGCTTACGTGAGAAAAAGTGAAGCATGATTTTGTGCTTACTTTAAGAATTTTCTAGGAATCGGGCCCTGGAGGTCGGGTGTTCGATCCCTGCATTTGACGAGAAAGTTCATCCAGATTTTCCGGCGTGGTTTCCCCTTGTCAGTGATGCAGGACGGGGGGTGGGCCCTAATAAAGACAGCTGTCTAGTCGTTCGGATGGTGCGAAAAGCCGAGGTCCCGTGTACACATTGGCGTGCACGTAAAAGATCCCTTGACAGTTGGAATTCGATATAAGAGTAGGCCGTAGCACCGCTGCCCGGGCAGAATTTCCCTCATAGCACACTGTATGGCGTATGCCCGTCTTCATTACCCCAGGTTAGGAGCAGAACAGTAGGACGTTAAACCCCATTTCATTACATTTCATTTCATAATGTTAGTTCTACAACCAGAGGCCACAACGATTAAACGGCGACATTTCGGATAAGGTTTATGAAGAACGAACAAAACCATTTAAGGAAAATAAAATTATACAATTTAACAAAATTTAGTAAAATAGCAGAAATTGAAGCTATTTGTGTGGGAAGGCAAGATTATGTACACAACTGTTAAAATTTCCAGAATACCCCACTTTTTCCTGACATAAATGGGATGGGCAATTACAGCAACAATGGGGTGTGTTTATTTTGTTCATCACTTACTGTAATCCCTGTGAAATATTGAAAAGATACATCCTTGTCCCATACATTTAATGTCGTATATGGCTGATCATTACCACGAAATGAGCAATATTTGAGGAAGCATCCTGTTTCTACTAACCTAATTTAAAGTTTCCTATCAAGTCACCCTCTTTTGATTTTAAAAGATTAAAGATGCTATATGTAAGAGATACATCTGCCAATTGCAAATCTTTCGTGTGTCCTTAAATGTTATATACATCATTATTAATACATTTATTCAGATGCCAAGCATGTAATCATCTCTCTAGACCATCGAGTGGTTGTGGTGATTTTCAACGGATTTAAACACTATCACCAGTTAATAATTTAATCAAATAATTGATAATCGAGACTTCGTTTATCAACAAGTCGCCTGTTAATAATTTAATCAAACAATTGATAATCGAGACTTAGTTTATCAACAAGTGTAGAAATTACAATCAAAACTAAGCGATTTTTCAAACGGTGATAACTTTGACTGAACTTTTCGATATATTCATTTTTCATTATCTATTATCCAACTAGTATAGCTAGAACTTTTGTTGCGCGAACATAAATATTTATATATTATTATTATTATTTTAACGAAATCTTACACAATGCATCATTAAGCGAAAGTAGACTTGTTTACTAATTTTAGCTTTCTGACTCGACGCAGTAATACGTATATGGTAATATCGCCAAATTGATTTTATCTAGGGACGTAAGAGTTCGAACGAAGGCAGACAGTCAACCCACAAAATCATTATATATAATCCAATAAAATCCTTAACGTCATCTGTGTCAAAGAGATCCACTTTCAGTCCACTTGGGCATGATTTACATTAATATGAATAACTCTTTCTTTGAATGAAATTATCTTGACATTAGCTGATATAAGAATTCATGAATATGACGCCTTGAAAGCAACATTGACGAAAAGACAAAATCCCATTTTTATAAATGAAATGAAATGTGGTTTAATGTCCAACTTTTCTGCACCGACTGGTCAAGGGGATCATTTACGTGGACGCCAACATATACACAGGACTTTGGGTTTTTGTCCGATCCGAACGACTAGACCACTGCCAAGGGAAACCAACACCGATAATGAACCCGAAACTTCTGGTTGGTAAACCAACGCCTTACCCTCTGAGTGACCACAGTTCCATTAACTTTATAGGTTGAGTTCATTTAATAATATAAATAAATGCAATAGGGTTTAACGTCCAACTCTTCTGCGCTAATCGGGCTGATAGCGACGAACATTTAATTACACAAATAATTTTCAAAAATATCAGTTTTAATTTAGTAAAAAAAAAAACGAACAAGGTTATTTTCAGACATACATTGAGTACTGTAATAATTATACCCCCCAAAAAAATATACTTGTTTATTACCAAATAAAATTAGTTACGCAATTCTAAACAATATCAGTTTCAGATTAAAGGGACTATCCCGATTTTAACAGAGTCTCAAAAATAGAAGTCCGAGTTCGTATGACATTTAAGCGCCAAAATATAGAGGTATGGTGTATTTACCTTGTCTCAAAATTTCAGCTCAAAATACTGAGTTGTTTGGACGTGAACGTCAAAAATGCTTATCCGGACACGTAACCCTTTTAAGATTTCTGATCAATTTTTTCGTTGGGTGACTTGATATAATCTATCGCCGTTCCTTTAAAGATCTATATAGTGAATGACCTATGTGCCGTACTGGATAACGAAAGGTAAATTTCAACCACACATTGTGTTTATAAAATAAAAGTCTGGTTTTATCTCGACACCACATAATACAGCTTGGGACACCGATCTCCATTTCCAGATGAAAACTGACGGGTGTGAGTTGTTTGAAAACATATCACAAATGTTGAATTAGTTGCTCGGCCCTTAGGTACTGGATTTTAAAGGGTTTTAACACAAAATTAAACAGTTTTATTCTCCAAAATATTATCGGGATTGGCCCGTTAAGCAAAACAAATAAATAGAAAGGAACAAAAATATTTTTTTTTCTACATCTATTAGTTGTACATGGTTATATAAAAACTATAACTAAATTTAACAAACAATTTAAAAAGTAGGAAAGAAAACAGTATACTTATTAGTCTCAAATAATATTTGTATCAACGATT